AAATATTTTGTTTAGTCAACAATTTCACTCAAACCATTGAAATTTCATGTCTTTTTTCACTTTTGTTCCCTTTATTTCCTTTTTCTTCACTTCTCTCCCATATTTTTTTTTTCTTTTTTCTTTTTATTTTTTTAAGTTTTTTTTTCTCTATATCAATATTGACATAAAAGTTATATTTTATTTTTTAACCATTATATATATTTAAAATTTATCTATTTTCTAGTATTTTAACTTGTAGAAATGCACAAATTAAATATTTATTATATATAACCAACATTTATAATAAATTATGTATAAAAAATATTATATTTGAATATATAAATTATATTTAAAATTTGTATAAATAAATATTTTAAACATATAAATTGTATATATTCTTCAATAGCAGCATATAAATCATATTAAATTTATGATAAATAATTAATATTATAGCATAATATTATTTATTGATAATTTAATTAAAATATTAAAATCCAATTCAGAAATAATTATGATTAATAAAAATTAAATTATGTAAAAAGTTAATTTTTTTTTCTTCTAAAAATTCTATTATCGAAAAAAACTCCTAAAAGTGTTATTGCTTAAGATAGAAATTTGTGTTTAATATATAAATTTGATTTTTGAAAAAAATAATATTAAAATTTCAAAATTTTAAACATATATATAAAACTAAATTTTGCATATGCTAAAAAAATATATTGTTTCGTCTAAATTTCAAGTATTTAAAAATAAAAAAAATAATTTATCCAAATAAAAACATTTGAAAAACAAGGCAAATTAAATTAAAACATTTCATTTTTTTTTTTGAAATTTCAGAACTCCTAATCCAAATATAACTAAGAGAAATTTATAAGATATTAACATAATTAATATGTGAAATATACTCATATAAAACTCAAAAGAAAGAAAAAATATTACATTGAAAATGTATAATTAAGAGAATGAACTTATAATGAAGTAACAGTTTCATGTTACAATGTTATATATATATATATATATATATATATATATATATTTGAATATCAGTTTAAAATTATATTCAATAGAAAAATATATATTTTAATGTAAAAAAAACAAAAACTTATAAGTATATAATTTTTTTTTGTAACTTTAATTGAGTTGAATTCTGATTCTGAAACATATCCTATCTTGGTGGAAGCTTCTACCTCAACATTGGCGACATTGGTAAAGATGGCTTCATTTGGATGATCCTCATCTGCAAACAAATCTAAAGCACCCTGTTGAGACCTAAATGGGGGGAATGATGACATTTTCCATAGAAAAGAGGTAAGCAATTTGTGATAGTGATCGAGATTGAGCAGAACTCCCGATTTCGGGCCTCGTGGATTCCCATGCTTTAAGCATTCGTTTAACTTGTGTGGTAGGATTTCTTCCTAGAAATTCATGAAAATGTTTTCTCCTCGTGTTCCTCTATCTTGTAATTTGGCACACACTAATGTTTTGGAACGAAATTCTTGTTGTTCCATTGCTACACTCTTGACTATGACATTGATTAACGGGGCAATTGAGGATGGGGAAGAAGACATTGGAATTGAGGGGAGGGGTGAGGAAGAAAATAATTGAAAAAAAATAAAATAAAAAACATATATATATATAATATATATATATATATATAATGTTGACGTGAAATTACAAATATTGATTTTCGCATGGGACTAGCCAAATATAACTCACTGTTAAAAAAAATGAAATTTCTATCTCGTAAGGTTCAAAAGTTACATGAAAATATGAGGAGGGATTCTTTAACTTTAGACATCAAAATTCAACGATTCAATCATTTAATTTAAAGTTCTTAATACATAGATTAAGTATTATTTGGGTGGGAAGGAATATGTTTTCCTTTTTAAACTATACTCAAATCCAAACATTCCTCTCTCTCTTTTTATTTATTTATTTATTTTTTAATTTCTATTTTAAATTTTATTTTTCTATTTAGAAACCCTGTGATACCCTCTACCCCATTATTAATATATAATAAATATAAATAATTTTTTTTTAGTAAATAAAACCTTTCATAGTTTAATAACATCTTTCATGATAAAATAATTGTCTCATATCATAAGGTAGAAGATTCACATTCGTAACTTATAAATCATAGAAAGTTATCATGTAAGTATCAAAATTCAAGATATCATATAAAATGAAAATATAGATTAATTCCAGCAAAGGTGGCAGTGCCTCCTAGTTAGAAATTAATTTATAACTTTCAAATCATGTAATAAAAATAATATGACAAAGATATACATTTTAGTCTTTTCTCAAGAACGTTCAAAATTACAAAAGAAGAGAAAATTAAAGCTTATTAAAATATTAACATCCAAGATAAGCCTAACTATGCCCGATGTCACATCCTATCAGAGCATGCCCAACTGAAGCCTTAAGCCTCACTACCAACATCCTCATGATGCTGATCACCTGCAACATAATTTAAACATATACAAAAACAACAAGGGAGTGAGAAACTTTTCACTCAGTTTTAGGTGAAGAAATAAAGGTTAGATAGCCAACAAATATAAATCACATATAAATAATACACATAAATAATCAATATTACAGATATACTCATTTATCATGTTATGATGTCATGGACTCGACTCATAAATGCATGCATGTGGCGCCATAAGGAAGTTTCACATATCATCACTGGTGACCTTAAGGTACACCTTGTTAGCATGTTACATCGTGGGTGACCCTAAGGTACACCTTGTTAGTCGTGGGTGACCATAAAGTACACCTTGTTAGTCGTGGGTGACCATAAAGTACACCTTGTTAGTCATGAGTGACCATAAGGTACACCTTGTTAGTCGTGGGTATGCGGCCTCAGCGGCACACCTGGAGTCATATATGCATATGATGCATGTCATACATTCATAATTTCATTGACTCAACATTTAACTTATTACATAATTTCATTTAGTACATCATGTCATCATTTTTCATGTTTTTATAATCACAGCTTGTCTCAATAGTCCATTCTTAGGTCTCATGTCATTTGTCCATATTTCACAAGGTCATGTCATAAATACTCCTCATAAGGTCGGCACAGGAATTCACAGAGAACATTCTTTTTCATATTAAAACTTATTTATTTTTAGCATTAATTCCATATTCATTTATTACTTTCAAGGAACAAAGTAACAAGGAACAAAGTAAATCAAACAGAAAAACATAACAACAGGCAAGGATTGGGGGCCAATCCGACAATCAAACTATCCAACAATTATCCCCACACCCCCGAGCGAGTTTTCTCACTCCCCTCCTTACCTGGATAAGCGGAGTTGAAACTTGGGCAGGACCTCCTCCTCTGGCTTCCCTTTTCCTTTCCCTCTCTTTCTTTCTCTTTCTCTCTCTTTCTTTCTTTCTTTCTTTCTTTCTTTCTCTAAGATTTTCACTTCTCACTCAGTATAATTTTTTTCACCCCCCTTGCCCTTATTTATAGGCCTTCTGACGCACCCGGAACGACCCATACTAATTTCGGAACGGCCCGTTCCGGATCCTTCAAACATATGGAAAATTCTCAACTGAAACGACCCGTTTCAAAAAGTAGAACGACCCATTTCAAAAAGTAGAACGACCCGTTCTGAAGTTCATTTTACACACATTGACCTTTACTGGAACGCCCCTTTTCTAACTAACCTTTTTAGACATTTTTAGAATTCCGGAACGGCCCGTTTCCCTTTGAGAACGACCTGTTATGGAGAAATCAAAATGAGTCTTTTTACTACATTGGAATGGCCCATTCCACTTTTGGAACGACCCGTTCTGCCACTTCAAAATCAGTATATTTTCATTGTTTGGAACGACCCGTTTCACTTTTGGAACAACCCGTTCCAACCTAAAGAAACAGAATTTTATAAAAGAATTTCATAAATAATTTAAATTATTAAAAACCTTTACAATATTTTATAAAAACCCTTTTAATTAACTATAATAAATATATGAAAATAAATAATAGTCAACATTGTATTAGTAGAAAATTTGGGGTGTTACAAACCCAAAATTAAGGAATTTGAACATAGATTTTTAACTAATATTTTAATTTGTGCAATAAAAAGATAAATATTTATTATATAATTAAAATTTAAAATAAATTATATATAAATAGTTATTATATTTAAATATTTAAATTATATTTAAAATTAATATACATAAATATTTTAAACATATAAATTATATTTAAGATTTATGATAAATATTTTTTAATAATTTTTGTATTCATTAATAATTTAATTAAAAATATTAAAATTTAATTAATAAATAATTATGATAAATAAAAATTAAATTAGATTAAAAATGAAAAAAATTTCACAAAATCTTCTTATAAAAAAAAACCTCTAAAATACTATGTACAAGATAGTGTTTGTGTTTAATATAGAGGAGTTGATAATAATTTTCACATCAAATTACAAAACTAAACATTCACATCAAATTAGAAATTTCATTAAATTATATTATTACTAATTAAATTATAAACTTTGTGTAAATTGTTATATATCAAATATATTATTATTTAAATTTAAATAAATTTTTAATCTAAAAAATAAAGTAAATTTATTTTTGTCACCAAATTTAAAATTATTTTTTTAGTTCTATAATTTTAAAACATTTAAATATTTGTAATCAATCTACCAAATAAAGCTCATGTATTATTGAATTTATTATACAAAAATATAACTATTGTTCTCAATGAAAAAATCAAGTGATGTTACTCATAGTTAATAATATTAGTATTATTATGAAAAATTAAAACGATTTTTCTTTAAAAGTTACACAAATAAAAAGATTAATTAAAAAATTGCATTAAATTTAATTAACTAAAAACATATTTAATTTAATATATATAAACTTTATTTTAGTATTTTGTAACTACTTACTTTATATATATATCTTTTTATAATTATCTTATTTTATTTCTTATAGACGGGTCAATATATATACAGAGAATAAAATGTGAGAAATGTAATTTTACATATATGGGTTTCTTGGCCCGTTAGCACATAGTAAGCGAAGGGTTCTGAATGTTGTGGAAACCCTAGTTGAACCCTTGTTGTAGTTGTGTGGCAGTTGCAGGAACTATTCATCTTAGAGAGAAGGGAATCGAAGAATCCGTTTTCGCATGCCTGCAACTCCATCAAGCAACAAAGGAATCTCTACCCTCTTCGCTTTCACCCCTCGCCAAGTTCTGTTAACAATGAAGCACACCGCTCACAACTCCAAACTCTTTCTTCACCAATCCATTGCCCGTTACTTGGAACGCAGTGGCTTCTCCAAAACCCTTAAAAAGTTCCGCTCCGAAGCGCAATTCGAGGTAGGTTATGTAGCTGACTTGGAACTTCATTATGTTTGACACTGATCCTATGCTTGATAAACTTTTAGGTAGATATAGGATATTGCACAATGGAATGGTTTTTTTTTTTCCTTGCTTTTGAGATTGACGGAAGAATAGTTCTTAAGTCACGATTGTTTGTAGAGCATACAGTGGAATAAGTTGGAAGGAATAGCAAGATGGAAATCCATTGTTTTAATTTTTGAAACATATTGAAAAGAGTGGCTTCTTCCTTGGATAACAAGGTTGCCTTTAGATTATTAAGTGCAAACATTGGTTCTGTTTGGACAAAATCAACTTATGGATTCCAGCTTTTGGGGAAGTTGGATGCGAGTTTATATAAAAGCTAAGTCACTAAGTGTAAGTTGATTTTAGCTTACAGAAAAAATTATCCAAACGTGGCCTTAAAAGACTAAGGAGCTTTGTGTGTAGTGTTGTTGCATGTTGACTAGAATTCCTCAATGTCCCATGTTTCTGTTTTCCTCATCACTGTTCAGTAACAGATGTGACTGGGTATTCCTTCTGTTGTTTTACATGGTTGCTCCTGGTTGTGATGCAGAAGGATGATTTGGAGGGGACGCCAGTTGATCTGGAAGAAATGTGCCTCAAGTATTTAGAAATATGGTAAGAATATAAAATTCTAAGTATGGATAAATATATTTTGGTCTATAACATTTAAATAACACGCATATCGATGTCATTTGGCATTTATTAACTAGTTCTAAATTGATCTTATTATTTTACAGAACACTTCTAATTCAATAAGCTAGCTTAATAGTTTTTCAGCTAGAACTAGCTTTTTAATCTTCAGCTAGTTTATTAACTATTTTTGCCATATGTAGTTTATTTAACCATTTCAGTTAGTTTATTATCAATAAAACACTAGCTTAAATTAAAACATGTGAATGTCTGACTGGTAAATTCTTCCAGGAAAGTAGTGAGCATTTTTTTTTCTGTAGATGTTAATGGGTTTATAATTTAGAGTATTGCCTATCTTAATGGGAAAAATTAGCAGAAAAACTATAATTATGACCAGGTCAAATATCCTCCAAATCATAAAATGTAAGAGAAGGCAGTCAAGCTGCCAATGAAAACTCTGTACAATCTTTTTGCTGATTATTGATCACTTATCTGAACGAAAACCCCTTGTACAATCTTTTTGCTGATTATTGATCACTTATCTGAACGAAAACCCCTTAAAAACAACTGTCTATAGTCCAAACTCTAAAGCACCAGAGAGAGAAGCCTGAAACCCAATCATATTTTTTTGTGTAGGAGCATAGAGATCTCCCCCCTGAAGATGCTGACATTCTGCTCCATTTAATTACAGTACTTAATCCTATGAATGGCAGATTTGCCCATTATTTTTCATTATTCTTCTGAAATTCTCCAAGCATACCATGTAAAATTATTCCTAATATTTCATGTGAAATAAAATTTTATAGCTGCCCCCTGTGAGATGTTGCCTGTGGATCCATGTATTAGCAGAACTAGTAATTACTAATTAGAAATGTTGGACCAATAATTGCAAGTGGTGATGTCACCATTCTAATTGCTGTTGCACCAATTTGTCTCTATGCATGGATGATGTTTGGTATCTTTAAGCATCATTTCTGTCTCGTTGATATGGTAATTGAGCTTTTCCTTTTTGTTTTGTTTTTTTTGCCTGTTTTCAGTGGCAAAGATGATAAGTCAAATATCGATGATCAAAATGAGCTAGGTAAGTTAAATTCCATTTAAATTCTTCTCTTTTTTGTCATGGTGACTTCCTCTGCACAAAATTTAGGTTGTTAACTTGTGATGTAGAGGTTATTGTAAATTTTTTAAATGGTTTCTGTGGTTGCAATGGCAAGTTTGTGTACATCTGCCCTCCCATGCTCCACCAAATGAGAGCCTTGTGCTCTAGGGGGGCTCCCATTTCCTTGTCATGACAACTTTACTTGCTTGCATATCTCATTATGTTACTTTCTAAGACCTGGCAATTGAATCTTTATATTGGCTCTTCCACTTCCTGCTAATTGCAGCTGTGCACAGCAAAAACAAAGATGGTAAATCCAAGGAAAAGAAGAAAAAGAAAAGCAAGTTAGTTTCTGAATCTCTTGCTAATAATGTGGAAGGCAATCAATTGGATTCAGTTACTACTGTTGCAAAAAATAAAGTAAAGGATGATGTTTCTGCTGATGCCAAAGTTATTAATGGTTCCAAGACAGAGAAAAGATCTAAGTCTAAAACAAAAAAGAATGATAAGAGAGATGGTCAAGGTGATGCCATAGAGCATATTGGAGATCCCAATGAAAGTGTTCTTACAGAAGAGAACATTGAAGAATTAAACAAAGAAATGAAACATGAGGAGAAGAAAGATTCTAAGAAAAGGAAAAGACCAATTTCTGAAGAAAATGGTCAACAGGTTGCAGATATTAAGGCTGATGATGAAGCCAAACGCAGAAAAATAGAAAATTTGAGTGGCAATCAATTACAGAAGACATCTAAGGAGCAATCCAATGGGAACCTTGAGAATGATGGAGAGAAATCTTCTGTACAGAGGTCTCAGAAGAAACAACAAAAGGGATCAGTTGAGGTATGCCATAACTAGTGGTTATTTTCTGAGTATGTTATAGATAAAGCACCTTTTGAATCAAACTCCGTGCTTATTTTTCTCTCATTTAAGATAGAATCAACTTTTTGTTTTTGCACACTGGTTTCTATCAATGTTAGCCTTCATCATTATTTTTGAAGAAACATACATTCATAATAAAGAATTATAACATCAACTAAAGCTATGAATACTCGAATAGAGTCCTGAAACTCAGGTATTGTTCCAGGTTAAGTTGTTTGCTGGTTTACCTTTAATGAAATAGTTTAACATCATAAATTCCTAATGTTTGTCCCAATGCCCATACTTCTTTACTTCTCCCATATCTACTATCGGTCTGTCCTTTTCAGTATGTTTGTTCTACTGTTTAATTTTATGTCTTCTCTCATTCTATGTCTATGATTATTATATTCTACATTTTGGTTTTATAGTGATATGAATCTAAAATTCCAATTTCACTGATGAAGCTAAGATTCATGATGAAATTTTTGTTTGGGACAACTGTAATTTCAGCAAAAACCAGTGAAGGCGGCATTTCAGCGAGTACAAGTTGACAAGATACAATTTGCCGACGAGAGGCTTCAGGATAACTCATATTGGGCAAAGGTGTGATGAATTGATAGTTTTTGGCCTTTCATTTTTAATGCATATCCATTTGGTGATGTAAATTTGGCCTTGTTGCTTTCTCTAACAAATATGTATTGGTGTTTCTGTCTGCAGGATGGTGCTGAGAATGGTTATGGTGCTAAAGCAGCAGAAATTCTTGATCAAGTTAGAGGAAGGTATGTGATTTCATGTGGGTAATGGAGTAATTTATCGTTCTAATGTTTGCACTTGTTTCATGTGGGTGGTGGGACTGAGTTCGGCTTGGAAGTTTAGCGCTTGTTTCATCTAGTTTTTTTTTTTTTTTTGGTGAATCTTTCAAAAGAAAAATCTGTTTTTTAATGGGCAAATAAAAAGTTAGCTTAATATAGATTTTCATGTTATGAATAGTGTATAATTGGATTTGGAGTTGTCATTCATTTTTAAACCTGTTTGCCCTATTCAGCTCTTACTCAATATGTTTGTTTAAAATACGTGGTTTTACGTAGATTCCTTTGATATACACAATTATACATTCTATAGCTGTCTTTTCTTTTTGATTTTTTCATTTTTTGTGTATATTGACGTGGAACTTTTTTCTCTATTACAGGGATTTTCGCCATGAGAAAACCAAGAAGAAACGTGGAACATATCGGGGAGGACATATTGATTTACATTCCCACTCAGTAAAGTTTAATTACTCTGATGATGAGTGATTGGGAAGCCTATAGATTCAGATTCCTTTTGCCACCGTTTTTTGGGTTTGTAGTTTGAACAATGCAGGTGGTATTTCTTTATATTGTATTATTGCCCTTATTTCGTTTCCATCAAACAAGTTGATTTCACATCTATGATTTTTGCTATGTTCCCAATGGAACAAAAAATTTTGTAGCCGGAAAACCGAAGACATGTAATTGTCTGAATTTGTGATATTAGATACCATGCAGTTTTAGTTCTCTGGCCGTGAAATTTCAGTAAATGCTGCTGATGGAGATCATTAATTGATTTTCAATTTTTTATATTTAATCTAGTGATTTTACTGGTCAAACCGTGATATTAATTTCAGTTGAAAGTGATAGATTCGTGAAATGTTTTTTGATATGTCGACTTTATGATTTGAAGCCGAGGCTATAAATTCGTGAAATATTTCATCCATTTTATTATTTATAGCTATTTTATTTATTATTTGACTATTTTAGTTAAACTTTTTTTTTCAGAGAATCTTTAGTAAAACTTAAAAAGGCATAAATTAAAAGTATTTAGTCTTTATCATTAGGGACATATAAAATTATTTCCAATTTTAGAAAAATAAGAATTTTAGAATCGAAAATCGAAACAGGTTCATTTAGTAGAGGCTGAAAGCTTATTTGGATTTTATTTTATAATTAAAACTAATCATGAGTGAAAAAATCTTTCATTAATAATTGAATTTTGATTCAATAAGACTCCTTGCGTTATTTCACAAAAGCTAAAAACAATAATTAACGTGTGTTGTTTAACAGTTTAAGTGAAAGATACTTGGACCTCTTACGTATGTAACCTCGAGTTTGTTTTTTTTTTGGTACGAATAAAAGTTATTGGGCGGACTATTTACTTATTTTGATTTTTTTAAAAATATTTATGACATTAATATGAAGTATAACTATAAGTAGGGATTGATCTCAACAGTAAACTTTTTTTTTTTTAATATAAGGGAAAATAATTCCCAGATACACTAAAAGTTATGAAGATACACGATATAATAATTATCTGACAAAATGACATTATAAAAAAAACAAAAAATTCTTAATTGTTTATTTAAGGATGATCAAATTTAACTAATACATCAGCAATAGGCAATAGTAACTACGTCATAGACCCCGTGTACACATAAAGTTATTTTTTTAAAATTAATTTTAGAGTGAAAACGCATTTGAGATATTACCTTTATACTTATTAATTATATGAGAAATATTTTAGAAAACTGACAAAAAGTAACCAAAAGGAAATGCGTTGCACTTGCACATACCTAATGATGGCATAATCGTTCTTCGCGGGAAATCGTCCCAGACACGACTAATTTTTTCCCTCAAGATATATGGTCTACTGATCGTGACACATCATCAACATTATCAGTATGTTGCTGCATGGAAATATTACAGAAATTGGGTGGAGTCAATGAAAATAGGATTCATTAATAAATTTGTCTTTGTTTGTCAAGATTGAATAGAAAGGAGGGGAAAAAATAGTAGATCTTACTAAAATTTACCGAAAACATATAGTTTAATAGATTAAAATCGAAATTTAATTGATTAATACGTTTAATTGATTAATTTTTAAATTAATTGATTGAAATACTTTTTTTTTTCTTCTGTTTTGTGAAAAAAAATCAAAATATAATCAAAATTAAATAACTTTTAGCAATACAACACCATCAACACAAATCATACCATCTCATCAAAATATAGTAACTTACAACATCGCAACAATCTCAACACGACAACTTAATCAATTTCAGCACATACAACACAACAACACATTTAATACATTTGATGCATATTAACTACAGAGATCTCGTATAACATAAAATGATCAGTTTAAGTGGCTAGACCCTATCGATCCACAATGTGTGACCTTTCTCAACCAGGTCAACTAACAATTCAATTTGATTTCTTAGGTTTGTCACTTAAATTAGGAAGCCTAGTACTACTGTCAGGATAGAATAATTTGCGTATAAGTCTACCATGACATTAACTTGTATAACTAAACCACTTATGAGATTAGTCTACTGACCTCCAAGTACTACTCCCCTCTAATACTAGGTTAGGGATTAAGTCTTCGACCAGGTACTTTACTCCGTTTGTTACTTTATACATGTGTCACTCAATATTGTCCACACATAGATACCATATAAAACTTAGAGGAGACAACACACAACGTACCATTTAGCAACCAACTCACATATTAAAGGTTTTTCAACACTTGGGCTCTCATAGCACTACATCTCATATCCACATATTGGGATATTTGGTTTTCAAAGTCATCACTTACTCTTCTCTAGTTTCATGTATCTTTAAATTGGACTTGTATCTCAACCACATACCTAACAATGTAAACAACTCAACACATGTTACTTTACAACTCAATCATCAATCAACTCACAACTTATCACACATAGGTTTACTATCATCCATCATTATTCAATTATTAAAATAACTTAAACAATAGTTTTTCATCATGCAACTCACGTCCGACGCCATTTATTAGGCCATTGACGTCATTAAGGTAGAAAGTTCTTTGTCTTATCCACGCTCGACCCAAAATCACCCGTGCTCGACGTGATTGAGGTAGAGAGTATCCTACATGTAAGAACCGCAACACCCAAACTCCCTTTTCTCATATCCCTTCTCCCTTCACTTCCTTTTTCTCTCAAAGTCTCTAAGACCTTGATTCTGATTTCTTTCTCCAAGGCTGAAGTGGTGAGCACCAAGGTTGTCCATCAACCATTCTTCATCTCCTTCAAACTCAAAGACGTGCAGAGTTCGTTGGTTGCTCAGATTCTTCTCTCTGAGGTAAGGGAAGTTAGATTTCATGCGGATTTGGTTGTAAATGAGTTTAGGAACTCAAATGATGCTTGAATTCAGAAGATTAATGGTTGGATTGAGGAGTTGTTCATTTTTGGGGTTTCGGGAAAATTGGGGAAAATGATAATTTTTGAAGCGTTTGGTGGTTGCATGTTGAAATAGAGCTTGTTTTTGAGTTATATGATGTAAATGTAGTTAATTTTATGGATTGCATGTGTTTGAGCTAGCTGATTTGCAGGTTTTGTTTGAAATTTTCAAAGTTGTGAAGGTTGTTGTTTGAAATTGCGCCGGGCGCAATTCTTGGCGCCGGGCGTGTGTCCATCAGAGAACTCCATTGTCCAAGCATGCCGGGCGCTAGGTTGGTTGCACCGGGTGAGGTTGGGAATGGAAGCCCCTGGATGACTCACGTCGGGCATGGGGAGAACCGCGCTGGGCGTGATATCAGATAGTGGCTCAAAAGTTAAGTTATTGTTATGCTGCCAGGCGTGATTCGATCTCGCCGGGCGTCGAGACTCCGTGGGAGTCTCTGCCTGGGGTGGCGCCGGGCGCAGAATGAGCGCGTCAGGCGTGAGACCCTGGTGAGGTCTCTGCGTTACTTGCGCTGAGCGTGAGTTTGATACACCAGGCTTGGGAGACTCCTAGGAGTCTCTGCCTCCTATTGCGCCAGGCGTAATTAGAATTGCACCGGGCGTGTAAGGGCTTTAGAGCTCTCGGGTTGGGTCAAGGCCAGGCGCGAATTCTATTGTGCTGGGCGTGAAGGTATTTTACTCTATAATCCTGAAAATGCTGAATGTTGTTTATGCTGTTAATGATGATAAGTTGAGCTATGCTGAATGTTGTTTATGTTGTTAATGATGTTAAGTAGAGCTGTGTTGTATGTTGAACATGTTGTTTAAGTTGTTGAGCTGTGTTGTTGAATGATGAGCTGTTGATCACTAGGATTATAGGAGATATTTTTGAAGTTGTTCATCCCATTGTGTGGATTGAGAAAGTTGTGGCGCTTAGAGAGCCCAATTTGTTGAAAACCCCTCCTTGGGAAGCTGTCCCTAGGAGTGGACATTGTGCTATTCTCCTCTAGTACTTAGTTGGTCCCGTGTGTGGGCAAGGTCGAGGCACACATGTACAAAGCGACCACGGTATAGGGGCCAGGTCGAGCTATACCAATTATAAGCGGCCAATCGAGTAAAGTACGAAATCGGGAACTTAGTTCCTAACTGAGTATTAGAAGGTTGTAGTATTTGGAGGATAATCAGTAGGCTAATTCCATAGGTGGCTTAGTTAAGCTAGATAATGTCGTGGTAGGCCTAAAATCCAGTTGTTCTATCCTGACATAGTACTATACTTCCTTGTTTAAGTGGCAAAGTCTGAGAAATTGTTATCGTGCTGTGGATTGGCATCCAAATTTGTTGTTTACCTAGCAAGCCCAAAAAGGTTCTTTGTTATCGATTCGGTAGGACCTAGCCACTTAAACTGCTCACCCATGTTGTATGAGATCTCCAAGTTGAAATGCGTGACGACGCGTAAGCTGTTATTGTGTTGATGTGATGATTCATATGAGATGTATATGTGTAGTGTGCTGTGTAGCTGTGATTGAGCTGTATGTTGTATGTTAAATCTATTGAGAATGGTGATGTTGCTGTTGAGTTGAAAGCTGTTTGTAAATATACTATATGTTGATTTCTTTTCACTAGCTTACCCTTGCTTGTTTCCATGTGGGTTGGACTGCAATGATCATACTGTGTATGGGAACAGAACAAGGATAGGTTGGAGTGTAGTAGCAGGGCTACAGGTGGTAGCAGGAGCTGACTTTTTGTGTATGGGTTACTTGGTGTAGCTATTTTGTTAGTATTGGATACTGACTTGTTGAGCCCCAGGCTAGACATATGTATATATATATATATATATATATTTTCTCTTTTATATGCATACTCTATTCCTGTGTGGTGATGTTTTGTTGTGTGACAGCTAGGTGGGTCGTTACACTACACTCTTGCGCCTAGCGTGACAACACCCAAACCTAGTTCCAATCAAGTAGAGAACTCTCTATCTGACTCATGCTTGATGCAACACATATTAGTGCCTGACATAAACCCAAACAAAGACAAGTTTCTCTTCTCACGTTCAACACCATTCAACCCACGCTTGACGTGATTTCAGCCCTAGACAATTTTCTATTCTCATGCCCGACGCCACCGATCCTACACCTGACGTTAGTGAGACAAAACCCTTCTTTGGAATCACGACAAATGCCTTGAAGGCATGCTCAATGCAATATTAAATTTTGCACTTGAAACTTGAAAATCCAAATAACATGCATTGCACAAAACAACATTTATACAAGTTGTACAACCCAATTTCATCATAAAAAACAACATGCAACTAAAAACAATCAAG